CATGCACAAATTTCGTGTACCAAGAAAACAAACCGTTATAATTATCCCCTTTGAGTTAATTAACATTTACCAGTCCAGCTGGCTCCCACCCCATAAAACAATTAAAGTAACTAGATCACTGTATGTATCTGACCAAACCCACTTGATTGTCGGGACCTGTTATTATTCGGCTATAATTTGAATTTACTGAATTTGAACTAACTTACGTTAACAGTAGCACAAGGCTTCCCACCAGTTTACGTCTAACAACAATTATAGCTTCCCTCACAAGTAATTTCTTTGCAACGAAATGTCTTCAACTAATTGTTAACAAAAGGAGTTCCCCAAATTCAACAGAATTGCTAGAATCTCTAAGATTTTCTGCTAACAATAATTCATCGTAAACGTCAAATTTCGTAACAACAAGAATGTCCTCCCAATCAATCGGTACGTAACTTCGACAGACATTAGTGACACTTAGCTGTGGGTACTGGACGTTCGTCCAACACCTCGCCTCGATCTCCACGTACAGCCGTTGACTATGTGATCGGCAACTCCAAAGGTTCTACGATGTCCTCGATCTCACGAAGGTAATCGGTCCTCTCTCTCTCTCGTTTCTCCCCAACAGCGATATACACGAAAACAACTCCAACTCCCCCAGAGTTAATCCTCAAGACAAAACGAACGTACGACAGCCCTGGTGGTTATTATAGTCCTACCGGTTGCTCCGCCAGAAACTGAAAAAGCTCTGATTTATTTTTTTCATTACGGCGAAAATCTGACCAATCAGACGGTTAAGCTGTTATTAGCAATAACTTGACGCCGAATGCCAGCTCCTCTCCCTTCTCGTTCTTGTCTCTTTAGACTATTCGGCAGATCCCATACAAGTTCTATTCTCTTTGCATTTTCTTTCTGCACTATTGGAGAACATGAGGCATGAGATCTGCTGAGTAATACTCTTGTTTTGGAGTTCTTTGGCCGAATCAATTGTATAAGCGCAGGTCCATCAAACTGAATGGGTATATTTTGTGTACCAGAGATTCTAGTTTTTCAGCTAGATCCGTCTTAATTCCCGAGCGAAGTTGTCCATTTGCTGACAAAGAAGGTGGGCATCTTTGATTCTCATATTGAAAAAAAGATTCCAGATCAAGCTCACGCTCTCTTGCGGTTATAAATAATCTGGACGGATTGTCAAGAATTATTTTTTGGTTTGTAGGTAATATCAGCTTTTTTTAAATGAGAAAATACAACATATTAGAGGATATTTAGTAGTTACCTATTTTTTTTAGAATGAAGAAATTAATTTGAAAATTTCATAATTTTTTTTATATTCAGACGCTATCTTTAATTTTTTTAACATTATTTTTTTCTTTTGATTACAGGTGTCAATACGAATTGATTGACACCTCAATCACTAAAATCGGTGCAACCGTTTTAGCTCTATAAATTTTTGAAATTATGCAGTCGCCATTTTAGAAAACGCCCGCCATTTTGAATTACAGTGGGTAAAATTCATTCATATTGGTCCTTAGTATTACTAGTAAAAGCGGCTTGCTTTCTGCATAAAATGCAGCTTTCGATGTAAATATCGCTGTAAACCCTAAGACTATATGTAGTTCGAGATTTATAAGGTGGCCATAAAACTTCTCTTTTTAAAGGTGTAAACCAGTTAGTACAAATTACCCCAACGCCACCATCATGTTCTCCGCCAAATTCTACTCCACAATACATTTTCTCGAGTAGAAGAGTACGGGACACTTGTATTACCTACGTGTTAATTAATAAACAAATGGTAATATCAATACCGCGAGTAAATTGGCGCCATGATTTTATCGTTAGAATTAAAGTGAGAAGTTATGAATTTATGTAAATGCGTATAAGGAGCACTTACGTCCAAGCTACAACACTTGCGTCCAGTTGCACTATATTGTTAACTTAAGTAACTGATGGTAAATTATTTCCACCACCACAAAGTACATTGACCGTATTGCAACACAAAACAAGTAAAGACAAGATGGCGTTACGCGATGCGAACTATGCCGGTCATGCGCAATTGAAAAAAATCATGCGATACTTAAAATGATTCTGCTATCCCAAAACATTAAAGTTATGGCCACAATGTCTACCTTGATGAAATGTCTGTTCTTGTGTCAACTTAAGACGTATGACAGAAGCATAAAATATAAAACTGGCATATCTGAACAAACTTCCGACGTTGATATATCACCATCTGGTAATCAATGGCTTATAGACACGATCAACAATAGCCATATTAAGATTAAAAGAAAAAATTAAACATTACATTGACTTTCCCACGTTTCCAAAATTATTATTAATGAAGGTAACTGGAATTACTTCAAATGTGAAAGTGTGTTTTATATTCTAGATTTTGTTAATTGTTGAAATTGCAGGCGCGCTTGTAGACGTGATGAGGTCGCAAAAATGTTAATAGACCACGTCGATGGTCGAGAATCAATGAGGATAATCACAATACTAGATTCAAAAACACTAATTGTGAATAAATTAATTATCGTCTTCTTGGTGGCCAAATGGGTTATTCTAACTGCTTTGGTGGTGATAGCCTTGGAGAGAAAGGCTGATATTTTTTCAGTAGTGGTTTTGTGGAGGAGGAAGTCGTCAGTTAGGTTGGCTGTCGGATTTTGTTTGATTTTTCAAAAGGTATTCTTGCGAGGAATAAAGGACATTTTCTAATCGCCCGCGGGCTCCCAGGTTAGTTTTGACTTCAATGGTTCCATTTTTACCGCCCGTATCACCCCCATCATAAAAGCAAAACCGTAATTTTTATCTGTGTCCACGGTCAGCTGTTATTGCATGTAATGCTCTCTTCCTAATTTTCCCACATTCTTTTATAATAAATACCTTGCGATTTTCTGTTATTATGTTCCACATTTAATGTTTGACGCTTTAAAGGGTGTTTTATAGTACGGTTTTCGGATCTTATTTCGGTTTTGAAAATGTTTATTTCGGTCTGAAAAACTGTATGGGAACTTCATAGTTTCTTGTAGGCTTTGGTGAGTTATGATCTCTCTTGAAACTGGTTGTAAATCTTTCAAGTTGCCGAGGTTTGTTTCTTCTTTTAGTTTCACCTCGTGGTCTAACAAGCGTGTTTTTCCAAAAGCAGTACCTACTTGTTGTCTTCGCCGAGTGTTTCAAGGGCTGTTATCATTCCCATAGTAGCTGCTTGGCAAGGTAGTCAAAAGATGCGATACTTTGTCCATTTACTCCAACTTTGCACCGGCCGCGAGCAACTCTACGATAATTTCGTCGAATTTCGCGAAATGGGTTAATAAGCCCTCGTCACCTTGCAGTTAATAACCTTTTTCGGCTTGCTAATTGTGTGGCAAGACTTTTCTCTCGTAGAATGCGTCCAGACTCTCAAAAATATCTTTGACGTAAAGCTTGTCCTTGGCAAAATTCAGAACTGCGTCTTGACGTGGCTGTCCTTTAGTTTTTTAACCGGTTTTTTGCCAATGCACCTTTTAGCTGAATCTTTTTTCTTATTTCGAAATGCTTCTTCTGCTTCTAATGCTTGTTTCTCAGGTGTTGTCTAATAGCAAAATTATTGGATTTTGCTTGGTAGGTTTGGAATGTTTTAATAAAATTCTCAATAAACGTACAAAACGCCTGCTCCAGCATCCAATCCGAACCGTTTGCCCCATCAATGCGTCCTGGGGGCCTCCGTGAATAAAATGAGAGTAAGAATGAAATTTCTTCCTCGAGTGTATCGTGTTTTTTTTTTGTTTTTTTTTCGTTTGCCAAGGTCAATGGTAGAACGCTTGATGCAGACCTTTCTGCATTTAGGCGAATTGATCTTTTTGGCTGAGATGGTTTACTTACACATTATATATACGTCTTTTTTTTGTATTCTACATATATTCAGTCAATAAAGTACAATTATTATTATTAAAAAAAGATGAACATTGGTGGGGATTGTATTTCCTTGGGCACTGACAAGAACCACTAACGCGATCATCCCCTCGTTCAGCAGACGTAATTGCACCTACTTGATTAGTGCTCTTATTACACATTATAAGTATCGACAAATTTGGTACTTAACTGCCTAATTTGGCCCTTTTGTGATTTCATTTTGTACGAAATATTTAATTTTCTTCCATGGCCTATTTTGAAGAACATAATTTTGTTGTATGCATTTCATGCAATCGTTCTTTTTTGGCAATACGCCATTTTTTATTTCAATTTTAAAAAATTGGAGAACACATTGCTTCTCTTCGGAATTCCATGGAACATGTTTCACAGTACGAGAATTGTTTGTTCCTCTTCGGTTTTTTTCACCGCGCGACGTGTTACTTTTTTCCTTGTTTTGCTTATTTCCTTTTGTCTTGGTTACTAAAACATTACAATTTAGTAAATAACCAATTGTATAGATTAAATTGTTATGATTACTTTTTCTACCCGTCTGCCTTTTATTTCCTTTGGACGAAGTGTTAGGTTCCGAACCACACTGAGAGAAAAAAAATGCATTAACGTTAATACTGTGTCGGTGTTTACATACTTAAAAGGAATTATTGTTAAGTAAAAAAACGTACCATAATTTGAGAGAAATTATGCTGTATTTAGAACACCTGTAGTATTATCGCGTTAATACATTTCGGAATTTGTTTAGAAATGTTGAATAGTATTAGAGAAGTATATAACCTATTTTCACTAAAGGTTAATTATGTTAAACCCTAATACAGTACAATCTGACGTCACACCTTTTGCATCCGTTTAATATGTTGTATATTAACCATAAGACGTTGAAGAAAACGTATTATCGACTTAAGATATACCGTCTATAATGGTAATAGGGCTCCATATCACGTAACTGTTTGTATATAACTTAATATATTTCGTTTTATGACAGGACATGCCACTTGCAATTAACCTATCTTTATTGAAGGATAACATGTATGACGGATATTGAATTTATAGCGTATCTACATTACTTTTCAATGAATTATCTACGAGCTAAGTTGAGCTATTGCAATTTGCAAATCCGAAACGAAAATCCCTAATTATGAAACGCAAAAGCACCAATGTTATTCCTTTCTTAATAGTGCATATATAATGTTCTGCGAATCCACCCATTTTTTGCTTATGTGGCATTCCCTAAAGTGCATATACCTGTATAAAGTTATATATGTATACAATCCTTTCCTGCACCAGTACGCGGGAGCGGGATGATACATCATTTTCAGTGGAATTGTCTTAATGAATGTACGAATTATATGGCGATGGCATAAACCAAGTGATGTGTGTACAATTTGTATTAACGTTAATACAATTTTAATTATGTACAGGACAAAATATATTTTATACTGCTGTGCTATCTGCTATCAGTTTAGTTGAAGGTGGTGTTTTTGCTTGTGCATGTGAATCGCTAAATATACAAGTAATTTTCGTATAATGGAATCCACGGATAACACTGACAAGTGCTACGAAGTGGAGAAGTTACTTTCCGAGTGGGGCTTTGAAAAGTACATAAACGCCTTTAAGGGTAAGTAGTAAATTTTATATTTTCACTGTGAGTAGATAGATCACAAAATGGTGGTTAATATATAATTATGGCATACAACTTGAAATTGATACTGTACAGTTTCAACTCCAGTTTAACTTGCGCCGTTGCTAAGTTGCTTGTTTGTAGGTAGTGGCATTGTTTGAATGCTGTACCATTTAATATGTTTGTACTTAATAGGTTAGATAATAGAATTTTAATCTTAAACTCAATAACACCCTGCAACAAAATTTTGGCACCGCCCGATGTTCCCATATTTTTTTTCGTTTTCTAGTGCCTCAAAAAAAACAAAAATCATTATACGACCCCTAAACAAAATTGCGATCTCTTATTGAGAGACATTTTTCTGTTTTTTTTTTGCTTTTTTTCAAAAATGAGGAATAAGAAGGGTTTAATATTCAAAATTATGCGAGTATACCTAGAGTAAGAATCCAGCAACAAGAAAAAATCAATAAACGCTAAAAAAAAGTACAATCAGAAAGTTTAATAAATATGTTTATTTTTGGAAAAAAAACAACCAAAAAACAGATGTATCCCCTAATAAGCGTTCGCAATTTTATTTGGGGGTCGTATAATGATTTTTGCCCTTTTTGGGCCCTAGAAAACGAAAAAATATAGGTACATTGGGCGGTGCTAACCCCAAAATTTTTTTGCAGAGTGTAATCAAACCAGTCTACTAACACACTACCTATTTGCATTGCATTGTTTATTTATAATGTGGTTACTACCCACTATATTGTGATGTTTTTTAAACAGATCAAGAAATAGATACCGTCACACTACGTCATATCGAAGACGCAGAGCTACGAGAACTAATACCATTAGCTGGGCCCAGGGTAATGTTCAAAGCGCAGTTGAAATTGTGGCGTAATAACATAACCCAATCCCAAATAAATACAGAACAAACCGAGGTTTGTATTTATATCGTAAATTTATACATTCACGTATTGACTCCTTAAGTTTTTACACATTACATACCTATATACCTACTCATTGTGTTACTGAAAGACATTGTCATTTATCCTTTTTGTTTTTCAGCCGGATCAACATTCTAGTCTAATAGAATTATCTAATGTAGTATTAAATGGTACAGGGAATAATTCTAATGACTACTATCAGCCAGAAAATTTACTTAATACCGCAGCGTTATCGGATTTACCCGAACCAAATGATCTATATTTGAGCGCAGTTTCTCAACCTCAACCTTCTACCACAGCTTACTTACTATCAGTAAGCTGTGCTTCTACTAGTTCTACTGCAATTCCCTGCTGCAATAATTCTCCGAGTGAAGCGGTCTTTTGTAAAGCGTTTGTAAGTACCTATAATTATTCATATATTATTAATTGCAAGTTTGATCCAGTTACTTATATAATATGCAGAGTAATTCATTAGAAACATTTTTTTGTACTACTTATTGTACGTCACTTTAAGGTTTTAGTTGTTTATAGTTTATAGCGTACTTTTTTTTAAAATAATTGACATTTTTTTGTACTTATATTGTACATAACTAAGGTGGCCTCTAGATTAGTTGTTTATAGTTTATAGTGTACGTTTCTTAAAAAAATTGACATTGTTTTTTGTACTTATATATCATTTAGTTTTTCCTATTCAAATTGTATATCTATGTATTTTTTCAAAATAAAACTTTTCATGCAACAGCTTTTTTTTCAGAAGAGAGTCCAAACATCAGGGGCGTGGCGTCCATGGATGCGAGTGATGCGTCGCATCCCTTTAAAAATTGGCGGTATTTGTTTATTTATTTTTTATTTGTAGGTAATTAATATTTTTTAACCCTACCAGAAGCATACATTATTTATTTACTAATTACTAGTACGCCTCTGTCAAATTTAAATTATTTTATTTCGAGCCGTGCGAGCGAAGTTGCTGACTGACTAGGTTTGGTGCGATGGTGTATGCCACATAAAGACAAACGTTCGAAGTCAGCATGAATCAATGACCTCACATGGATCACTCTGCTGCTGCTCAATGCTCGTTTAGACGTTTACGTGCACTGTGATGCGATTTCAGGACCGCATCTCGTTCTTGCAGTTTAAGCGTAATAAGCGCGTTGAGTTTGTTTTTATATGCGATCGCGATGGCTGCTCCTGCTCCAATGAAATGTGACTGTGTCATTGAAAAGCTGTTACGTTCGTCATTTAATACTTGTTCGTTTACACAAAAATTACAAATAATTGAAAATGGACAACCGCGACCCACTTTAAATATAAACACGAAACTGAAATCGTGCGTTCGACATTTTAATGAAAACGTATATAAAAATGAACATTGGCTTTGTGGGTGTAAGGAACTAAATAAGCTTTTTTGCTGGTCTTGTTTATTGTTCTCTTCAGAGAAAAGTGTGTGGAATACATCGGGATATAATGATTTAAACAATATATATCGTTCCGGTAAGAGGCATACTAATTCGGAGAATCATATTTCCTGTGAAAAAAAGTTGTTATTGTTTGGAAAAAGTCAAAGAATTGAATTTGCTTTAAGTACTCAGTACAAACTAAGTATAGAAAAACATAATTAAATTGTTAAACAAAACAGACACATTGTGGGATCTCTTGTCAGGGTGACATGTCTGCTAGGTAAACTTGGCCTTCCATTTAGAAGTCATGATGAAAGCGACTCATCAAAAAATAAGGGAAATTTCGTAGAATTTATTAATGAAATGGCAAGAAATGATAACACGCTTAAAACGCATTTAGATAATTCTACTGTTTTTCGCGGTCTTTCCCCAGACATTCAGAATGATTTAATCCAATCAGTTGCCGAAGTAATGATCGAAAAAATTAAAACAGAGATCTCGAAAACTGATTTTGTAGCCCTAATTTTAGATGAAGCTTCTGATATCACTATGAAATCACAATTGTCAGCTACTTTCCGATATGTAACTGAGGATGGAAATGTTCAAGAAAGGTTTGTGCACTATACAGATGTCAGCTCTGATAGAAAAGCAGATTCTCTTTTGCAACACACTTTGCAAATTTTGAAGGACTTTGGTTGTGCTGACAAATTAGTGGCACAAACTTATGACGGTGCGGCTGTAATGGCAGGCGAACATAGTGGATTGCAGACGAGACTTCGAGAACATTGTAAAACCGCAACATTTATTCATTGTTATGCCCATAAACTGAACCTAGTTTTATCTCAGTCCGCTAGTTTCATTAAACCAGTTAAAATTTTCTTTACAAATCTTTTAAGTTTTTCCGTTTTTTTTGCCAAGTCGTCCAAACGAACACGCGCACTGGCTACTCATGTAAGAAAGAGAATTCCAACTGTCGCTCCTACAAGGTGGAACTTTCAAAGCCGAATAGTACAAACGGCGAAGGAACATAAGGAAGATTTGGAAGGACTTTTTCAAGCAATTGTGGAAGATCAAAATCAAGAATGGGATCGCGAAACGACCATTTGTGCTAGAGGCTTTTTAACTTTATTGCGAGATTTTGATTTTAATTTTTTCTTGGACGTGTTTTCTGCAATATTCCCACACTCTGAGAGCCTGTTTAAAATTTTACAATCAAAAATTTCAGATATCGCTTACTGCAATAAAAAGATCGACGATTTTAAATCACATATCCAGCGAATGAGAGAAGAGTTTAGTGATATTTGGGAGCGTATGGAGAGATTTACGTCGGACTATCGGCCACCAAACAAGAGAATGCGTTTGGATTCAATTCCCGAAGAAGATAAGAAAAGCACATACGCACGTTTGTTTTATGAAATTTTAGACGTTATTATTTTGAACATTACTCAACGGTTTAGCGAAATTTCTAAGTTGAAATTTTTACGTCTTCTGGATTCCACACTATTTGATTCATTTGTAAAGAACTTCCCTGACGAACTTTTTTCTTCTTTATTAACCACGTACGGAAAATTCTTTGACGCAGATCGTTTAAAAAGTGAACTTTCAGTGATTTATAGAGATCCCGATATGAAAAAGAGCAGTGTGTTTGAGCTACATCAATACATTACGTCTTTTGGATTATCTTCTGTCTTCCCAGAGTCATCTAAATTGTGCAAATTAATTTTAACTATTCCTGCCACAAGCAGTTCCGCAGAGAGATCGTTTTCTTGTTTAAAAAGAATAAAGACTTATCTGCGAAATTCTCAAAACCAACAAAGACTCTCCGTTTTAGCATTAATGAGCATTGAGGGTGCACTGTTAGAAGATATGAGATCGGTACCAACATTTGAAGAAACAGTTATAGACGTTTTCGCTAAACAAAACAAAAATCGACGAATTGATCTTCATTTTAAAAATTAGTACATACTTACCTTGTTTTATTGTTATACTTTGTTTCACTGGTGCTGAACCTGACGTCATAAATGTGATTCTCTCTTCATTACATTTAAATCGATTGAGACAAAAAAATTACGTCATTAACGTAAGTCGTGACAAACAAAACAAATTATTGATCTGTCAATAATATCAATCCGTCAAACGATTTTCGTTAAGGACAGATTTCCAGTGTGCCTTTTGATTAGGTAGTTTGTGTCAAAAGTGAAGTTGATGATATTCATCAAAGTTGAAAACGCTTAGGCAAGTCCACAGTGCAGCAAATCCGTTAACAGACAAGTATTTTAAAAATTTTACATAATGGTTCGATTCGCTCATATCATGAATTTAGGTCATTACCGGGGTAAATAGGTAAATATGACGAACCGATACACAGAAGGTGAGCAAAGTTTGATTTTGAAGTTGATTCAGTACTTCCAAAGGGCAAACGAAGCAGGCAAAACTTTATTACCCGTAAACGCAGTATATGATGTAAGTGTTTCCTATGCGTTTGCTATAATTATATGCTTACTTAATCACAGAGGGTTTGTGCTGGTCTGGGTGTATCGTTGTCGACTGTAAAAAGAATTAGTACAAGAGGTGTTAAAAAGATGACGATTACAAATCGCAAAAAAGTGTGGCCATTAGTTTATCTCACGGACCTCCGCTGCATGAAATACATGAACATGTAATAAGGACACGGATTTATGCAATGTATGCCACAGGTAAATAACATTCTTTATGTTCTAAGGGAAGATTTGCTTCAAATGAAGAGGTTCGCTAGAACACTTATTGAATTGATTTTATAGGTGAGAATGTTACACTCCGTTCTTTACACAGTAATCTTCAACGACTTGATGGCGTAGAAATATCTGCTACCTCTTTGTCCCGCAGTTTGAAGAAACTGAAATTCACGTGGCGGAGATGCACCGTTTCTAATAGATTATTTTTAATGGAACAGCCCTATGTAGCTCAAAGAAGACTACAATTTTTGAGGGACTTTAAACACAACGAAACTTCACTCTTTCCATTACGACCTGTGGTTTTAGACGAAACCTGGATATACAGTAAAGGGTCTTTTAGAAGAAGCTGGCAAGATGGTACTCTCAAAACAGTTAGAAAAAAAAGTAGTGAAGGGGTCCGGTATATAATACTCCATGCAGGATCAGAAGATGGATTTGTACCACACGCAAGTCTAATTTTTAAATCTGGTAGCAAGTCCGGAGACTATCATGACTCCATGAATTGCCTTAACTTTGAGAAGTGGTTTGAACAACAATTGCTCCCGAACTTGGAGGAACCTTCTCTTATAATTATGGACAACGCTTCTTACCATTCAGGATTGGTAGAAAAAAGTCCAAATCAATGCTGGACAAAAATGTCACTTATAGAGTGGCTAACATCACGAGACATTACATTTGCACCAACAATGATGAAAGATCAGATCTGGGAAGTAGTGAAAAATCATATACCACCAAAACTATTTAGGTAGGCACCGCTGATAATTAAATGTTTGGTTGCAGTTAGGTAGACCTTTGGATAGGAAGCAGATTGTTATGGTTTTTTTTCACTCCACGTTGATTTTTACAGATTGGACGAACTGGCATTACAACATGGTCATCGTGT